GTATTCTATGCCAATGAAAATTTTGGAAAACTCTCACACCAGCCATAACCAGTGAACACAGCCATCCGTTATCCTCACTGATGTGATTACGAAATTTCATCTTTTCAAAAGTGATGCAGAAGACAGTGTCCTTCCTGCGAACAGAGAAGATTGGTAACAAGACCCAGTGCTCAATCTGCAGGCGGGAAACAGAAAACCAACCACCACTTATGAAGAATGGTACTTTTACCTGAACATGGGTTTACGCAAACCCATTCATTGAGGTTTCTTTGTTGCAGGCGTGTCAGTGTCAGTTATTGGCATAGACCCGCTACAAAACTTTTACCTAGTGATCGACCGAAATAAAATCCACGTTAGTAGACAGTTATGCAAAATAAACTGTTTTGAAAGTTTTATTTTCTAGCTATAGGTTATACCCGGTCTAGATTAAATATACAACCAATCTGATCTTCCAACCAATATTCGATAAGAACTATACAAAACACTAGTGCAATTACCGTTTGTAACTAACAGTGTCACACATCACATCACCACTACAGGATCAGATTTATCCTCGAAAGAGCGTCGATCAGCTCTTTAAAAACTAAGAATGGTCAAGTATGCATTCGAACATCTGATAAATTTAGAAATTATCCGGCCATCTAGCAACCTGAGTAAATCTCTCTTGCATACGGTTCCCAAGAAGGAATAACAGCCAATGACATCCAACTGGTGATTATTGGCAACCTTATATGAAGACAACACTCAATAATTTGACAGCTGCTACTTTGAAAGACACAAATGTCTGTTAAAATACTCAAGACATCTTCAGACTAGATTGACATAATGCAATTAGGAATAAAAGTAATAGGCAAACATAACATTCATCATTACTCAATGATCAGTCAATTGTATACTTACTCACTGATTAATATACTTCTGAATTCCTCATAATCTCTACCTTTGTCCTTCTAGATTTATCTCACTGAATTATACTTCTCGAATCATATCTTCACTTCTTACTATTAATACTTCTACTATCGCTATCACTCTTGGATTTGAACTGACAGTTGCGTCTCTGTGGTATGGCAACCTGACCTGACGTACTTACGTACGAAGTTCTGCGTTGTATCTATCTATCTAATATACTTGCTTTACTTGTTCACTTAATTAATTAAGCAGCCTGCTACCCCTCTAGATACATAGACCACCAACTAGGGATCACCTCATCAATTATACAGAAGGAATACGGCATTACTCATCTCCTTATACCAAATGTAATTGAAATTAAGGTGGATTAGTATGATATTATTTAAGATTAAGCGATAATATTTCACATTTCTTTGTACATGTTTTTTTGTATTTAACAAAACTAACCAAAAGATATCAAAGAAGAGATATTATTTATAAAAAGTACCAGTTGTAATTTACAACATCTGGGAATACAGATAAATAAACCTGTAATTTTCAATAAATCAAAAAGTATTTTGTTACCCTAATTGAAATTAAAAATACTTTGAAGTTTCATCTAATGACACATTGAACAGAGGATGATTATGTGCGATTCCTAAGTTTCTATTGTTTCAGTATATATTATTGGATAAAATAAGAAGAAGAATGTAATTGTAAAAGATTATTTCTTTTAAAAAAGAAAGATCTGTAAAAAATGAATTAGTTGTAAACAGTCTGTTCGATTATTCATACTGTCATTGATTTCTAGAAAGCAAGTAATGTACTAAATTTCAAATAAATGCCATAGTTTTCGTCGGTGAAATTAGTAATTCATGCGTAACCTGTTAAATAGTGAATATTCAAAAACAAAGAAAAAATATGAATAAATTTATATGAATAAGCATAATCGATATATATTCAGTTAGAGTTATAGAGATTAGTGTTTGTACACATTTTTTGAAATCATCAATCAATCATTGTTAGACCACCATTAGAAACCTGGAAGCACTGAAAGACGGCCGTCAAGTCCTGGTATGGGACTACTCACCAGCAGTGCGCATCCACGACTCCTGCACCTCGCAGGATTCGAACCCGGGACCTTCGGTATTGTGCGCGAATGCCTAACCATCGGACCACTGGGCCGCCATCCAAAAGTCTTAATGTCTAACTCTGATTGATCAAGGGATTTTTTCGACCTCACCCATTTGTCTTTGGTAGTTACTGCCTACACCCGACAAGGTTGAACTCCACTGGACATGTCTTCTCACTAGAACTACGCGAATTTCCTCATGAATCTAGTCACTAGTGAGCACATTTTACGATATTTTCAATTAGAGTTATGGAAATTAGTGTTTTTACACATTTTTTGAAATCATCAATCGATATAAACTAATTAGTGCCTAATTAATCAATCAATCAATTGAAGCTAACGTGTATTGATTTAAATGGATAGATTTTATATTAGTACAATAAAATGAAACTAACCAGATGATATATCAACACTAGTGAAGAAATAATTAGACTGTAGTTAGTGAAATGAATTGATCCTATGTCTTCATTTGGTTGCGCGTCTAAACTTCTTTCAACTAATTCATGTACTATCTACGATTACAAATTAGTTTGCAAAGTAACTAAGCTTAGGTAATATATATCGAGTGCTTTCTGGTAGTTTTCTAGACAGTACAATTACAGTGACATCATGAACCGATCAATGTTAGACCACCATTAAAAAACCTGGAAGTGCTAGACGGGTGTCAAGTCCTATGGTATAGGACCGATCAGCAGTGCGCACCCACCACCCTTGTTACTCGCAGGACTCGAACCCAGGACATTCGCTCTTGCGCTCGAACGCCTAACCTGTGAACCAGGGGGCCAGCATCCAACGGTGTCTGATGTCAATCAATTCACAGTCTTGCGCAACCTCATTCATTGTCTTCTGTGAGCACCGCTTCACACCCGAACAGGGTTGAACTCCACTAGGACTCAGGGAAACAACCTCATGGAGTTAGTCACGAGTGAGTACATTATCATTTTCACTATAGGGCTGTGGAGATTGTTGAGTTACATTGAAACAATGAATTGACATTTAGAATACTCTTAAAGTGATGCTTTCATGAGCAAAATTATCTTGAAAGTAAGAGTATGAAAACAAATCCTTCATCAGTTCAGTTATATTTAGCGATCAGATTAATTTTCACATAATAATGAGCAACCTACTCAGTATATTGACTATCATGTTAATTTAGCTGTAGAATAACAACAAATAGAAATCATATTCACAATCTCAATAAGAATTTTGTCAGACTGAAGTTTTCTATTCAATCAGGACATTTATCTATTCATCGAACAAATATTTTGTATCAAGTCTACAACTAATTTGATGTTCAATTGTTGAAGACGGTTAAAATCGAATCATTGATTTATATGCTCTTATCTACTTACTAGTGTTTAACAATGTATTTACAACATTGAAGAAAAAAGTGGTCATTCAGATAATCTTAACCAGTATTGCTTAAAGCCAAAGTCAGCTCAATTACTCACTAAAATACTTGATGGCTTAGTAGTCAAATAGTGACGCACTGTACAAGCAAGGAAAAGTTGAGGTTAGGGAACCCCCAAACAAAAGTGCTTTATTCATATAAAATTAACATATGCATTTTCCAATTTTCCAGTCGAGATTATGTATTGATATTTAGTGTTTTCTGATTGGATAAACCGCTTCATAATATCAAGGTTATCCGGCAGTAGTCTTTATGTTTACCCACACACCATGAACCGCGAATTCATTCTTTTCTTGAATTATCTAATATTGAATTGTATAGATTGAACGAACCAAGTGTCTCTTAATTGGATTTCTTAACAAAAATCATTTGATAGTGACTTTGTAAATGTTATAAGTATCACGGTATTCTTACTAGAATCCTGCATCCTAATAAAAAAAGATCAGTTCATTTTCGAACATCATCAGTTTGAAAATGTAAGAGTTAAATAGTAGATAGATTGAGACGTAACAAACTACTTCCGACAACTCACTGAAAGTTATGAGATGGTCTAATACTGGTTTACTGTATACTTGACAATGATTTTGAGATTAGTAAGTCTTATTTTTTTATTTTACCTAAAACTAATTATATGAGAGAACATCCTCAGAAATTTCAAACATCAAGATCAAATCATCAAAATCTAGAGTTTTGTCACCAACATCAATTAGTGAGTTATTGAAATTCTCTACTACAAACATTGCATTACCAGCAACTTCTGTTGAGATACATCAAAGCGATCTTCTCATTAGCCACAAATTGCGAGGATAAACATAATTTATGATTCGAACTCCTGTTCTTACGCCTTGATAGGTTTACTACTGAAACGCTTATGACTAACTTTGTAACCCTTTCTTATGACTCCGATGACACTTGTACATATCAACTCAAATGATACGGAAAAGGCATGAAATGTTAGTAAGAGCTTTGTTCAGAGATCAGGTTATGTACAGAAAACCAAATATGTTCATAGTTTCATGTGATTTTGGTCTCCTAGAACTTTTTGAAAACATACTAAGTATTATGACGGTATGTTTAACTATCCAATAAAAAATTCGACACATGATCTTTCATTATTCTGGATGTTTCTGGAAGGTTTCTATTCAGCACTGATCGGATAAAACAATGCTTAACACTTTCTGAGCTTCTGTAAACTTTTACAAGAGATATACTTGTACTCTTCAACACTACTGAATAGTGAAGGTTGTCTGTCCACTGAAGATTCTAATCAATTTATATTATGATTATTGTTCAACATTTTAAACATCCAATTTTCAAATATTCATTAACCCGAAATCGTTGTGAGGAAGCAATGGAGAGTCTTCGAGAATTCGATTTCAAGAGATAATATATGATTGAATGTACAAAAATTTCCACTTGATAACAATTTATTCAGTTTCCAGTTATCTTTGTTAAAAAATACAATATCTTCCCAACTTGTCCCATCAACTCATCATACTCTCCATTTTTTTCTTAAAAAAAGTTCATTCATTGATTTGAATACGAATCTTCACTATTTTTTTAACTTACTTTCGAATTCATATATTGTTGTAATAAATGTCGTAATTCAGCATTTTGTTTTCTTAAACCATCTGTATCTTGTATTAATTTAGCTCGATGTTTCAATATTTTTCGATATTTATCTAAAGCTACAATTAAATTATCCCATATTTCTTCCCATTCTTCAGTCACGATATTCTGTCTGTGAATGTGTGTGTGTGAGAGAGAAAAATAAAAAAAGAGTTAACGTGTATTTCAATAATGTGTTACATAACTTCAGTTAGTATAATATTTTTCACTAGTGACATCACTGAGTAGCTGTTATCAGTTAAAAGTTAAGAATAATAATTTCATTGTTAATGAATATCAATACCGATAACATAGTTCTATTTGGTGAAGACGCTGACAAAATGCAGAGTCTTCTGACTACCCTAAGTAACAATGTAAGCATGTTTGGGATGCGATTCTCCCCGCCGATATGCAAAATGTTGCTTCAGGAATGGCTTGCATCGACACCTGAACTAGTGATATCGGAGTGAAGTAGTTGAACGTGTAGACCGCTTCACTTATCTGGAGAGTCTCATCAATCCAAATGGCCAGGTGACTGACGAAATCTCAGCACGGATACAGAAAGCTCGATTGGTTTTGCCAACCTGCGTCACTTAAGGTGTAGGCGAGATATCCGTTTGCTGACTAAAGGACGAGTGTACTTACTGTGCAGCAGTTCGCTCCGTCCTATTAGATGGCTTTGAAACATGGCCAGGCAGATTAGAAGATATTCGTAGGTTACTGGTTTTCGATCATAGGTGTCTTTGAAGCACTGTTCGTGTATCGTGGGACAACTGAGTGAGCAACGCTGTTATTAGGAAACGGGTACTAGGTAAGGATGGCAGATCAATAGATGAAGTATTGAAAATTCATCAGTTGAGGTGACTGGGACATGTGTTGCGTATGCCGAACCACCGACTGTTTCGTCGAGCTATATTTTGCAATGTAGGCGTAGGTTGAAAGAACGCTAGGGACGGCCAGACCGGAACATGACAGAAATCCATGAAGTCACTGACAAGTGATCTGAGTCATGTCGGTAGTTGTCAACTACCTGGTTGGGGTCCGCGAGACGAAATTAACCGATGGTTAGAGACCCTGAATGATATGGCTCAAAATCGTTCGCAATGGCGCAGGTGCATTCATTCACTGTGTTCTCTCAAATTTTAACCTGAATTGATCATCACCTCTATCTTTCTCTTCCTAAAGTTATCACAATGAATTATACTTATTCAATAATATCGTCGAACCCTAATCTCTCAGATTACTGCTGATACCTTCACTACCTCTACTACTATGGGATTTGAATTAACCATTACATCTCTGTGCTAATGTGGTATGGCAACTTGAACTGATGTACCTATGTACGTACGAAGTTCTACATTGCTGTTGATTGATTGGTTGATAATGAATATCAATTGTAGATCAGAAGAAAACAAAACACTGGGAAGCTGGCCTGTTATCATTTTAAAAACCAGAAAAGCATAAACATATGATGAGATGACAATTAAAATCTTTAAGTGTTCAGATGACTATAATAATTTTAAAACACTGAATCATGAGCCTATAATTCACATTTCTAAATCAAATCAGTAGGGCTCCAATTAGTAACTAGCTGATTCCCTGCCTATAATAATAATCCTTTAGAAATTGTACCTCACTACAATTCATCCCATACACTGGGTGTTAAGGACGTTAGAACCCCTGAACTCATTTGGAAAATGGTCCCAATTTTGTTATTTTATTCTGAAATTTTGAACTTCCATGTTTTCGCGCCAGCTGACCTTCAGCTTACATTCACCCCCTCAGAAAATCATTCTTGACTATCATTGGTTGATGGATTATTTTAGTACGCTATTTTGTAACTCTCTCAAGGGCATTTCTAACATTGTATAAATAAGCCTGATTGGTGTGTTTTATCAAGACTTCTTCATCTAGTTAGCCAGGGTTTGGACTATCGGATTAGAATAGCCTATCGTGTCACTGTATCGTTGACCTTCGTTCCATTTAACGAGTAAGGTGAATCATAAGCTAGAGTTACATGTTGTTTTTTGTTGAATCATTTAGTGTTATTAGCTAAAGTGTAAAATACAATGCTAACAAATGTTATTAACTAAAACTTCAACTTTTAAAATATGTAACCCAAATTAACTTGTAGAGTGGCTCCACGAATATTCGAGTTCACTTACATTTAATTTGGTTAAGCGCTTTCGATTAATTTATTTAACCAAGCCATTTGTATTGCAACAATTTATATATGTACCATTCGTTCTTATTATTGTCTGGTTTGTATGAGCTCACATGATGTGTCCCACTTGTCATTTGACCTTGTCAATCATTCGTCACTTTTATTCATGTGTGTCTGCCTATTTCGCTTGTCACATGTCTATCTTATTTTTGTCTGACTATATATTCTTAGTCA